TCCAAGTCTAAATCTTCCAGTTCCCTTTTCATCATTCCTTCTCTTAGAGCACTGAGCTCTTGATAAGAGAACTCATTTTAACGCTATCTACTGTCCGTTTATTAGCCGTAGGAAACATTATTCAGGTTGAGGGCATTTTATGCAGTTGCGAATCGTACTGCGAACTATCCCCACTGTATATAGCGTTTGATTCTGTTCTTGGTTCACTATTATTTGATTGACTAATCATGACGTAGAATACTCAGAACATTCTGGTACCTTCTTTTGAACATGATTCCTTTGTTTTTTGCGTATATTGTTTATCAATTCAATTTGTGCCACTACGAATTCCTCATCTTATTTAGATGACTAGGGCGCTTTTTGTTAGTGGTTGCGTGTTAAAAATCGTACTTTGGATCCAGCTGTTTGTTCCATTTCGAAATCAAATGGAGGTAAACGATCTATTCATCTGGTTAAACTGTTGAATTAGAATACAAAAATTCTTTTAGAACAGTTTATTTGATAATACTATGATCCGTAATTACGGCTCTAGGATTCGTAACTCCGGAACATTTTTTTGCTGTTTGAATATGTCCTAATATTCCAACAAGACTGCTCGTATCAGGGCGAAGCCCTGAATGTTCCGACTGCTTTTTAAGGTTTATGGAGCAGCAGTAATAACATAAAAAAATTAAATGAAATAAAATAAAATGAAAATTTTTTTTTCTTAAATTTAAAATTTTTTATGAAAATCATCCCCCCACACGCCATATAAAGTACAACAAGACTGCTCGTATCAGGACGAAGCCCTGAATGTTCCGACTGCCTTTTAAGGTTTATGGAGCAGCAGTAATAACATAAAAAAATTAAATTAAATAAAATAAAATGAAAATTTTTTTTCTAAAATTTGAATTTTTTTAATGAAAATCATCCCCCCACACGCCATATAAAGTACAAAAAGAGAGATTTCGTTCCTTATAACAAATCAATTATGGCAAATAAGCTTCGTTCAACTAATTTGGAACGATTTATAAGACGGATTAAATCTCCGCTTACGAGTTGATAGCGCGAATTATATCGCGCGTTAATTGTCCCAAATTGGTCAAAATGGCCAAAATGACAATCTTTAAACCCTCATAACTTTACGAAAAATGATCACAGGTGAAATATCTTTTCAAATTTAAGCTCAGGACAACAATACCTTTTGAATGATATTAAAAAATTCCGTCAAAAATGGCTAGTTAAAAAGTCGAAATTTGTCTGAAGAAAAAAAAAACCCACCCCGAGCACAAATATTCCGTTACTTTCGTATCGAAAGTCGGAAAAAAAAGAGAGATTTCATTCCTTGTAACAAATCAATTATGGCAAATAAGCTTCGTTCAACCAAATTGAAACGATTTTTAAGGCGGATTAAATCTCCGCTTACGCGTTAATAGCGCGCATTATATCGCGCGTTAATTGTCCCAAATTGGTCAAAATGGCCAAAATTGCAATCTTTAAACCCTCATAACTTCATGAAAAATGATCAGAGGTGAAATATTTTTTCAAATTTAAGCTCAGGACAACAATATCTTTTGGATGATATAAAAAATTCCGTCAAAAATGGCTAGTTAAAAAGTCGAAATTTGTCTGAAGAAAAAAAAACCCACCCCGAGCACAAATATTCCGTTACTTTCGTATCGAAAGTCGGAAAAAAAGAGATATTTCATTCCTTGTAACAAATCAATTATGGCAAATAAGCTTCGTTCAACCAAATTGAAACGATTTTTAAGGCGGATTAAATCTCCGCTTACGCGTTAATAGCGCGCATTATATCGCGCGTTAATTGTCCCAAATTGGTCAAAATGGCCAAAATTGCAATCTTTAAACCCTCATAACTTCATGAAAAATGATCAGAGGTGAAATATCTTTTCAAATTTAAGCTCAGGACAACAATATCTTTTGGATGATATAAAAAATTCCGTCAAAAATGGCTAGTTAAAAAGTCGAAATTTGTCTGAAGAAAAAAAAAACCCACCCCGAGCACAAATATTTCGTTACTTTCGTATCGAAAGTCGGAACAATTACCATACACCTCTGAGTAATTTTAATTCATTCATAGAGTACTTTTGTTCACACGTAGTCGAGTAACAAAATAATCTTCCAATGCACAGCCAAGCTAGTCGTGTGACGCATTGCACACAATTCGAGCGACCTTTTTTTGGTTAAAATGGTGTTGCGATACAACTTGTCTCGCTTTAGTTTTTCAATGTTTAACTGTTTTAATTGTTGATTCCGTCCATTGTCCTTGTGTTTTAGAGTAAAAAAAAAACGAAATAATGTTGAGTTTTGCGCTATACTTTGTAGCAGTTATACTAAGTTAATAAAAATTTTTGATTTGGTTCAAGCTATCGTGTCAATCTTAATATTTAGTGCCTTCGACTTTTCACTTTTTAATATTAGGTTTCAAACTATGATGTGATTTTGGACAACTGATGAGATGTCAAAATGGCCTCAAAAATTTTGTCAAAAACATCCAAGAAACAAAATTTAAAAAGTTATTGTTTCGAAATAAATAATATGCAAGGACAATGACTAGATTAATTGGAGCAAAATCGAAACGACAATTTTTTGCAGCAAAACTTTTGTCGGGTAACTCTAACATCAGCAATATTTGACTAGTTTTTACGGCTAGAAATCATTAAACACAGCCTCTATTTTGTTCATTTATTGTTTCGAAGAAGATGACTGATTATTTGTGCTCGGGGTGGTTGTTTTCTCCATTTAAACTTTCGATTTTTTTAACTAGCAAAAATTGACAGTTTTTCTGAATAACTTTTAAAAAGGTATTGTTGTTCTGATCTCAAAATAAAAAACAAAATTTTTCACCTGCCGTGAATAATTTTCGTAAAGCTATTGGGGCTTAAAGATCGCTATTTTGGCCATTTTGGGACAATTAATGCGCGATATATTTTGCGCTGTTAATGCTTAAGCTGAAATTTAATCAGTCCTTAAAATCGTTCCAAATTAGTTGAAGCATCAATTTTACTTTAATACGGGCGTGTTAGAAGGATGATTTTCAAAAAACTCAAAAACAAGGATTTTTTTTAATCATCAATTATTAGAAAATTAATCTGCTCTTTAGACCTTAAGAAAGCATTTGGAACTTTCAAAGTAGGTTTTACGGTATTATCTAAAAAATTTCAGTCTTGGAAAATCTTCTAGTCCGACAGCAATTGAATACTCGCAAAAACAAACTTTGAGTTGTCTCTCCAATTACATTATCAGTTTTAGCTTCAAATTGAAAACAAGCTACAGTAAAACGGGCTCTCGTATTGTCAATCTGAACTGTGTGGGGTGCTCAAATATCAAAAAAACTAATTTCGATATTTTGACTTGAATTCAACAAAATTATGCAGCTGTAAACTGATTTGAAAATAATGCCTCTTTGCAGCAAGGTATTGATTTTTATTGTTCCGACTTTCGATACAAAAGTAACGGAATATTTGTGCTCGGGGTGGGTTTTTTTTTTCTTCAGACAAA